CTACTCTGGTTTTTCTCTTGTAAGTGTCCTTTAGTGAGAGCAAATGCTTTCCATCTTCAGCAGGGTTCATAATGTATAGCAGTTTCAAAGAGCTCTCTGTGGAGAATTTCCTCTGAGGATTCTGCAGGAACCTTTTGGTTTCTCAAAGTTTTGTGGTTTTTGCACAGGTAGGAGGCCCTTGAGAAGTTGTCTCTCTCACACTCTGTTTCCTCCCCAGCCTAGCCCTTTTACTAATACAAGAAGTCTGCTAAATTGAGACAACATACCCCCAGGTGGCCAGCTTTTCAGCATTTAGGCTAGTGCACCTTTAACAGTTGTGTAAGTGAAAGATGGGAGCTTCAAGGTGCAATCCTGTGCATGTTTAGAGAGAAGAAAGGCCCAGTTATAGACTTTTTTCTGCCTGAATATGCCTTGCACTGCCTCTTCATTGTTGAAAGGCTGTCTGCCCTTGAGTTACCCTCAGCAATTCTAAACTGGATTTGAAGAGCAGAAAAACATTTTACAGTTGTGGTTCCCAGTGTTGTTTTTGATATGGTTCATACTAGTAAGGTGTTCTATTTGAAACCTTCCTTGTATTGGAAGGACCTGACACTAAAGCAAGATGCTGATATTTGAAATTGGTAATGGACTGGATGAGAGTCAAGAAATAGGCTCCATCTTGTCGATTTGGTGATGCTGTTAGCAGGTGGTTTATCTGACTTGTGAGAAGTGTGTTTCCTGTTCAGGTCTGCAGTCTATGGGTGCTTTTAGATCTGGCCTTATTTTTGAAGGCTGAGGTGGCTTGGAGGCAGTAAGCACCTTTCAGCAACTGAGACTAGTGTGCCAGAAGTAACTTCTTAAAGACAATAGCCTAGGCAGTAATTCACAGAACTGGGCAACCAAAAGGTCTCAGCCACTTCTTTGCTCAGCAAAGCTGGATCCCTGACCCAAGCACCAGCTGGAAAAATCCACCTGGTGCTTGGGCCAGGAATCAAATAATGTCAGTTGGAAGTGGCCATGCCCACTGATTTCAGGGCATAGCCACTCACTGCTGGCATCATACCACTCATGGAAAGCTGGGCACTGAGTCATCCACCCACCCAAAATTTCCACTAGCCCAAGACCTGGTTATCTTGATCTTCGTGCAAAGCCCTAACATCAGTTGAAGCGAGGCAGGTGGTGCTTCTTTTAGAGACTTACCTAGTGTTGTCTCTGCTTTCTTCAGACTGGTTGAAGATCTGTTACATGGTAAGCATGTCATGAGTGGAGCCGGCTGGAGCTGGGGGTCAGACTAGATGACCCTGGAGACCCCTTCTTACTCAGTCTGTTTCTAAGTTTCTACTCTGTCCAGGCCTCTGAGGATATATTCATCTTGCTCATCTTTTCTCAGCTTGGTGACCTCTCCAGATGCTTTGGACTACAACTGTCATCACCCCCCACAGCCCCAGTCAGCATCACCAATGGTCAGGGATGGTGGCAGTTGTAGTCTAAAACATCTGAAGGGCAGACTGGAGAAGACTAGTCTTGACTGATGATTTCTTCCCCCAGTCCCTGCTGTTCCGTTTTCATTATCTTACTATATTTGTATTGAGAAATTATTTAGTTCATTTCTATGCCACCCAGTAGCCAAAGCCTGACAGTTCACAACAATTAAAAGCATAAAATACGTTATGATAAAATACAACATTAAAATTGTTTATATGATTTTATGGACTCTTATGTGCATTACAAAGCATTATAAATGTCCTTTGAGTAAATAAGGTGAGATTCTTAATCTCTTCTGTCTCCCCACCCCCTGCAAAAAATGCCTCAATTTGTACAAGAGGTGAGAATTAAGTGTTACTGTATGTACTGTTTCTCATGCTAGCCACAGATGACGCACACATTGGGATGATACCTGCTTGCAAAATAGGGAAATGTGTGCAAGAGTGAGTAGACAAAGTGATGGGGGACAGGCCCCTGAAAGGCTGTTAGCCAGGATGGCTTCAAAGACCCCACATTCACAGACAAGATGGCGCCTTTGCTGGGAGGCAGCAGCAGCCACAAGGGGAAGCTTTTGTCTTGTGGGCTTCCTGTAGCTACCTGGCTGGCCCTTAGGGGAAGGAAGGTGCTGGACTAATTTTTTTATTTCTTATTATTTGATTTCTTGCCTGCCACACGGCTCCCTAGATAAGTCCAGCTGGGCTCTGCTTCTGTTCTTAGTGACTGGATTCAATCAATCACTGCAACCCAGTGTGGTTTATTTAAGCCATGGTGGTTATGGTGCATGCTGACCCCCAATTTGAATGTTTTAGTTACGGTGGGTGTTGTGTCATGCAAGCCTGGTGAGGGTGGTTGATGCAAGGGCTAAACATCTCTCCATAACTGCAAAAAAGGCCCAGGGTTATGTGAGGGTTGTTCAGCCACTGCAGCTTGAATATTCAAAATGGCCACTGTACACACTGCAACCAACCATGACTTGTCACAAACTCTGCAAACAGGTCCAGTGGATTTGCTGGTCGTTTGAAGCAAAAGCAGTGTCTTTTGTCTCACTGAAAACTACTACTGTTATACTTTATTATTAATAATCATCCTTTATATACCACCTTTTACATGTTCAAAGTGCTTTGTATACTTTGTAAGTAATCTTTGGAACAGATTAAATTGCCATAAATGGGCTGCTTGCATCTTGATTTTGATTCCCTGTGCCTTGCCTGAGGCTGTCTTTGCTTGCTTTCCTTGAACAGAGTGTGAGAATTGCTAATTAGCCTAAAATTGAGCTATAAAGTGGTTAATCATGGGGTCAGTAGAATTGATTTCCCAGTGTAATTGTTGGAAGGGATGTCCTTCCTGAAGATTTCCTTTCTCCTGGGATGGGCTTCCTTGCAGCAAGAGGAAATTTCTCCCACTTCTCTCTGGATTCAATACCCAAATGGGCACTTAGCCTTTCTTAGCCAAGCCTCAGCTGCTAAAGCACAACACCTGAAAAGAAAACTAGAAAGGGAGAATGTGCTGATTGGCAAGCTTTTTCATTAGCTTGTCATTCAGTACAAGCTCCCCTTTCCAATTCCTCTGGATGGGAAGGGGGCCATAGGGCAGTGTAGGAGAACCTGTTCTTCATGCGAATCATCCCATTTTAACTTGGCATCTCCAGTTAAAAAGGATGTCAGCAAGGCTGGGAAAGACCCCTGGTACTCTGGAAAGCTGCTGCCATTATGACTAGGCATCATGGGATGAGATGGACGAGTGTTCTGGCAGCATAAAGTTGCTATGTCTGGCCTATTGGACACCAATAGAATCTCTTTCCTGGTGCCATACAGGATTACCAACCAGATTCCCCCTGGGTTCAGAATGAGCAAGATTCCCTGGGGCATTTGTAGCAAATTTTCCCTACCAGGCATTCTTTCCATCCTTGAAATCCTTGATCACCTGCACTCATGTGCTTCAGCAGTTCCTCTCCCTCTCTTGTCTCTCTACTTTACTGGAAAATAAATTAGCAGGCTAATTAGATGACTATCTCAAGCAGCCAGCAGTTGCTTCTTGCTGCAATGCCAGCTGAATACAAGATGATCACAGCCGTTAAATCCATCCACTTGGGACTCCGAATTGCCCGAGTTAATTTGCCTGTTCCACCTCGGGCAAGTCCCTGGGCCCTGTCCAAATTTGATATTTGGGGAAGTTGTGGCTGCTTGAAGATGTCTTATAGTGGTAGTGCTAGTGCAGATGATACTTGTTTCCTGGAGTAAATATAGGGATCTGCCCATCTGCATCCAGGTTTGCTCAGCTGCATTTTAGTAAAGCAATGCACAGGTGTATTACTGTTTCCATATTTTCACAGAGAGTCATAAAATCAAACTATGGAATTTGATGGCCTCCAACAGGGATAGCATTAAAAGGCAATGAGACATATTCATATAGAAGGCTGTCCATGGCTACTGCTCACTATGGCTCCACACACACATCCTCTCTCACTCTGGAAGTGCAGCGTGAATATTTATTTTGCTGCAAATACCTATACTGAGAAGCAGCCATTTGCTTCCCAAATCTGTGTACTGCTTTCAATGAACATTTTGTCCTCATTTAGCCTTAGTTAGGCACAACTAATAGTGGCCCAGAGATGGTGATGTACATTTCTGTCAGATAGACATGCATCCAGTTCAGCAAGGCCTGGATTATCATCACAAGGCAGATCCAGATGTACTTCCAAATCAACAGTGTTTGTAAGACCTGCTTCTTTCCAGCAGTCTCTTTTGCTGGATTGGGAAATCTGTCTTCCAGAGATTTTCTGTTTTTCATGCATAGGGCTTATCAATGTAATATAAAGCAGCCCTTTGTGAAATACTTTTTAAAGCTACCACTGACATTTTAATGCCAGCCTCAGGTTGATTTTTATTGGAAATTGAATATCTAGGTCATATTTCTACCTTTTGAAAACCTGCCCCTTGATGCAGTGGTCCTTGGAATGTTTTAGGAACATAGAGAGCTGCCTTAGATTTTATTTAATTATCTACAATATTCTGCCCTGCTATTCAGGCAAAAAGGGCTCCTGGAGAATTGGAAGAGCTTACGCATTAAGAAAACCAGTCAGACTGCTGACTTACCTAACCAGTAGGGTTGACACTGACTGGCTGTGGCTTTCTGTGGTTTTTCATGGATTTTTTTCCCCCTACACATGCCTGGGTAATAAACCTGAGACATTTGGTTCCAAGGCAGATCCTCTGCTTCTGAGCCGTGGCCCCTCCAGAAGGGCCCTATTAATGATAATAACTCTAAGGCCCACCTCTTCCTGGATCTTTATGCTGCGTTGATCACAACTTCTTTTCCTGGTAGCAGAGGAGACTCAGCACAAAAAAAAAGCTTCCTGGTTATTTAGAATTCCTCTCTCTCAGTACATTCCTGCCACATTTCCCCATTTGTAAAAGGAGGATTTCTGTGCTGCTTCAGAATGTTCTGATACACTGTGACACACTAAATGAAGAATAACGTCATGTCTAGGTTGAGTGTCAAGAGTCTTGTCAATCTTGCCGGTCTGTGTGTTTCAGATAGATTGCCTAGAGGACAAGCTGTCCCACTGCAGGCAGGCCTTGGAAGAGCTGGATTTTAAGCTGCAGAGAGAAGAACTGACGCCTGAGAGAAGGTACTAGTGGGAATTCATTTGTTTTATGGAGCTGCAGGTGTCTGCTGCTCATGCAAACCATGGTGGGTAGATTTGTTAGTTGCACACACCTCTGGACAGAGCAGAGAGTTAATGAGCTCCCCCAGCTGCAGTTTGCTCAAAAGTGCAGAAGAGGGGAAGTAGAATGAGTGCCAGTCTGAATTCAAACTTCTATTGCTTTCTTCTCTCACATTGCCTGTGTGTCTCTGAGTCCTAACTGGCTTTTCATTTCTTCCTATTCTGTTAGATGTCCCGTTTCCCTTCCATTAATATTTGGAAACCAGTTCAAGTTCACTTGCCACAAAAGTACTTTCCCTCCACTTTGTAATGTCTTCTTAATGGATTAACTCATATTTGCTAGCCTGTCACTGCCTAGAAATGCCAAATTTTGCAGGACCCCACCAGTTTTATCTCCTCAAAAGAAATATCTTATTTCCCAACATCTATAGATCCTGTAATATGCATACAGCATACTAAAGTAAAATATAGAATTAAGACTCGTGGGGATTGGTGCTTTTAGGTCATCTCCCTGCTTCATGTAGGAGATTCAGCACTACAACAGATACTTATCCAGTTAGCCAGCCTCTGTTTGAAGATCCTCCAGTGAAGGAGGGACCAGCATTTTGCCAGTTAATTGGCTCCAAGATCAAACTGCTGGTACAATCAACACATTTTTCCTAATGTTCAGCTGAAACTTATTCTCCTGATAGACCTCAGCCCAGCCTCTAGGGAAGGGGAAAACATGTCTTTGCCCTCTTCCATGTGACAGCCCTTCAGATACTTGAAGAGGGCTATCATGTGTTCTCTTCTCCAGGCTAAACTTATCCAGTTCTTTCAGGCTTTCCATGCAGTATTGGTTTTCCATTCCCTGACCAGCACTGCTCTCCTCTGAATCCATTCCAGTTTGAAATGTGACTTCCAGAATTCGAGACAGTACTCCAGATGTAGCTGAATTAGGACAGAATAAAGTGGAGTGACTTCTTCATGTGCTTTGGAAATGTAGAAGTGACCAACTTCCTGAGTTCAAGTTGCAATGGAGAAGCAAATAAGGCAAAGCAGTTCCCAAGTTGCAGGTAGAACTGTGTGTATTCTGTGCTTTTTAAAAAACAACCTGCCCTCCTCCCCAAGCCTTGCATCTGCTTGCTTTTTGGCATTTTTTCTGGTTTTGCTAGAGAAATAGAGCGGCAAGCTACTTTGCAGAGAACAGAATGTCTCCCTTCCGGTTGTTGGAAATCTTGAGCTAGAACCAGGCCTGTGCCTAACAGCTGGAGAGGCACAACGAATGGGAAGGAGAATGCTTCACCTTTCCTCTACATATTGTTTTTGCTCTGTTTCCCCCTCTTTTTTGTTGCTTCCCTTATCCTGGAAAGAGCACACACCTGTCTGGAACCCAAGCTGTGGGAAAGGTGGCTCAATAGAGAGGGTTGCAAGAGAATGGCTGCCATCAGAGGAAGGATAAACACTGCTGGCTGTTTCTCTGCTGAAAATTGTCCCACTACTGCTTTGCAGCTCTTTGATGAAGACACAGCTACCCTTTTGTCCTAGGAGACTTTATTAGGCACTTTCAAGCCTTCCTTTGCTTGCATAAGGACTGGGCACTTGCTTTATAAAAAATAAAAATTAAGGCAGAGATTTATGGGAAGTTGCTTCACAAAGATCTCTTTTTCTACTTGCAAAGCTTTTACCCAGCTTCCTCCTCCCTCCCTGGTAGTCTTACTTAGAAATGTGGCTAAACAGTGCCTCTTACTAAAGTTCCAATGTATCAGGTGATGCTCTGCTGCTTTTCCTGTACGCAAAGGAAGGGAAAGAAACAGCTCTTTCTTGACCAGTGGTGGAAGTGGGATCTAGGTTAGCTTACATATAGAGTGCGATACTGAATCCAGAGCAAATTCAGTGATTATGATTAAAGCATGCATCTTGATGTGTCTTGGCTCCTTCCTCTCTTTTAATAGCATCAACAGTGTCTTGAGAATGTAATCCCGCTGTGCCCCATGAGAGTCATTTCTTCACAGCCTTCTCTAGAGCAGAATGAAGAACTCAAGTTGTCATCACTTTGGGTTATTTCCCAGACAACATGAGTTGAACACATGCGACCTGGTGGTGTTACCTTGTGCACTGCTCAGTTCCCAGCTCCTATCACTAGATTTTGGCAACAGGAAAGAGCAAAGGCATGTGGCAACGTCATGTTGCATGTGGCATTAAGCTAAGCACAAAGAAGATGTGGGCAAGGACAGTTGAGTGGCAAGAGCACCCATCTCTCTCAACATCTAGTTCTGGCCTAAGAGGAAGCAGATAGTCTAACATGTAAGGTAGCCCAGGTAGTTTGAATGGCTGCTGAACACGTTGCTAAGAATTTGGCTCCATTTCTTTCTAATCTTTAAAACATACACTGCAGTTTTCCCAATCTGTTTTTGTATAGTAACTCCTTTAGAGTTGGCTGAATATGTCTGTTTTCTAACAGGCCGATGTCTCTTGTTCCTCTGATGTGCTTCGAAGCTTTCTTCTGCTTATGCCTTTCCCAATGTTAACACATCCTGCACTCTTTCCTTAACTCAGTTCTGCAGTCTGTTTTGGCTCCATTCCCACACTGGCTCCTTCTTTACTCTCCAGGGAAACCAACCCTATTACACTCACTGCCTTTCCCAACTAGACCACAAAGCAGGCTGCCCGGAATTGGCAGATAATTTGTTGGTGCATGTTTATTTCTAGCCATACTAAAGCTGCTGTAATGGAGCCGTTGCTGCAGGTGTTACGTTCTGGCAATTTGTTTTGTTTGCATGCTTTAAACTATGGATTAATTAATCATCTTGTGCACAACAATACAAGCCTTGGACTGGTTCCTCTCCTTGGAAACGTAGCAGAGCAATTCAACTAGAATAGCTTTCACCAACCTGGCAACCTAGAGATGTGCTTGGACTGCAGTTCCCATCATCCATAGAACAAAGCAAGACAGTCTAACTTGTTGTAAAAGGTTGTCCTGAGTGTCTTGCATATGAAGTAGATGCAAAATTTCACATGGTTTGCTACACAAAGCAAGTTCCATTCAAGACATTTCGTTTTCTCTTAAGCAGATGAGGAACCTCTTGTGGATCTTGGAAATGGAAAGGAAAGGGCAAAAGAGCCAAAGTGGTGTAGTGATTAGTGTATTGGGCTGCAACTTTAGAAATCCACATTCTAGTCCCCGTCCAGCCATGAAGTTTACTGGGTGACTTTGGGCTAGTCATAGGCTTTCAGCCCAACTCCTCTCACAGACTTGTTATGAGCATTAAATGGGAGAGGAGGTGGTTTATGTAAGTTTCTTGCAGGACAAAAAGGTGGAACATGGTTAATAAATATTTCCTTCTGAAAGTTCCTTGGAGGACCTTTCATGTTTGCAAGGCCAGCCCCCTCCTCTGTTTGTTTTAGAGCAATGTAAGGAGGGGGTAGACTTAGATGTTGCTTGAAGAAACTCCCAATATAGTAGTAAATACATAGCAAACATGCGTGTAGGGATCACATTACTGATTGTTCCTGCATACAACTTTTAAAAAATCCGAGACAAAACAGAAAGCCCAGATGTGTCCAAACAACCCCAACATACCTGACTTTATGTGAAGGAATCTTCAGTCCTCTGAGTGCCCACCAGCTGTTTAAGAGTGGTACAGTTCAGACATCGTTGCCACCTCATCTGCTGTTTGTGAGAATTAGCTGGGCTTTTATTTTAGCCTGTGTGCCAAATGGCCCGCTCAAGCAAGGATGAGAATACCTTTGCTTTACCTCTTCTTCCCGAGTGTCTAACCATCTCCCTCACTCTTTGCAGAGAGTCATTGGAGAGAGAGAAAAACCTGCTAGCAACCAAAGCTGAAGTTTATGGTAAGAAATGCTTTATAACTTTGTAATTGCTAGCCCATAAGGTGTATCCTAAAAACTTAGTATGTGGAAAGCACAGGAAAGGGAAGTGTTTCCTACAGGCTGCTAGTTGGTTTCTCTGTGAGGAGAATGCTGGGGCAGATGGGCCTTGGGCTTTTCGTAGGTTCTCTCTTGTGAAACTGAGCTGCTGCAGAGTTTAAGAGCTTTTTTAAAAATGAGGGTTTCCTACAATGCCTTCCAAAACTGTTTCAGCACTTGTCACCAGAGCTTATTTACTGGAATTCAACACAGAATGTCCCATATCTGGTACAGTGTATCTATCCATCTATTTAAAAATATAGTTAACTTTTCCTGAAATTGGTTTTGAGTGTTTCTGCTTGGAGAGGTAAGATGGAAGCCAAAAGCTGTTGATGAATGCAAAAGGCATGTGCATCATAGAAAAGGCAGTAGATGAACTGTTACAGCTCTACTTTGTTTTTTTAAGCTGGGCTACATATGTGTTTATTATATTATGATGTTTCTATACTGCCTTTTTCCCTTTCAAGGCACAAAGTGGTTTATATAATCTCTTCCTCTTAATCCTGCCCTCATAACAACAACCCTGTAAGATAGGTGGGGCTGAGAGTCTGTGACTGGCCCAGATTCACCCAGTGTGTTCCATGGGTGAGCAAGGGACTAGAACACAGATTGCCTGAGTTCCAATCCCACACTCTTAACCATTACACACTGGTTTGCATGAGAGGGTCCTGCCATTCTAGTTATAATGGGCAAGGTGGGGGCATGGCAGCCAAGGTGGAATGGGACACTGGAGGAGAAGGAAGAAGAGGCATCTTCTGGCTGTTTCTCTTTCTGGTTTATCATCCAAGCAGGTTCCTGATTGCTCTAATAGAAACTGCTGCATCATAAAACCTGTTTTATGCCAGGTCACTAATAAAGATGTGCTTTACACGCCAGGACTGAACCATGGATGAACAAGTGGCCTGGCATGTTTGACTGAAACCTCGTTGGGTGAAGATAGCAGGGTGGTTTGACCCTCCAGGTTTTTGGATCCAGCAGCAGACAATATTCACTGGGGGAGGTGGAGTTGCAGTAATCTATCCTGGAGCCATTCCCCTATTGAGGTATCCCATCAATAGTATGGGATACCTCAATAGTATGGTGACAGACACTGAGACAGGGCTAGAATTCTGTTAGTGTATCACCGAACCCCACTGCTCAAAAGTCCCCTGCCCAAGCTGATAGTCATCTTGGATTTCTCCCCAAATTGATAATGGAAGATTTCCACATCCATGCAAAGACCCTCTTTTCAAGAGCAGTTGAAATTTCATAGTATCCATGGAAACCTGGACCTGGCCTTTAATATCTGTTCCTACACATGTGGAGTGCCATACTCATTATCTGGTTCTGCTGGCTAGGATGAATCTATCTGTGGGTGGAAGAGTTTTAAAGAACTCCCCTTTAATGGACTTTAACAAGGCTTAGAGTTGCTGGAACTCTGAACATCTGCAAGAGAGCCTATTGCTATTAAAGTGACCCATCCTTAGAGATGAATGGTTCCAGAAAAACATCTCTAATGTTTTGACAAAATTCCACCTCCTATAGTTGGCAATCCTGCCAAAGCCCTGGTTTACCTGTGGTATGGGGAAATGATTTTGGTAGTTAAACTGCTAAAAGAGTGGTGCCTCTGCTTCTTTGAGGCACTTAAGAGCTAGGGTGGGAAAAGATTCAGGACAAATCCAACAGAAAACGGGTTATTTTATTGCCCCCAAGGCAGTGCAGAAATCATTCTTCTCTCTGCCTCCATGAGCTTCAGCACAGTATTGCCCAGGGACTTGTTTCAGATAGTGAAAGGGCTATTATATTCTAGGCTCCTGAGAAATAAGGGGGTGCTCTCAGCAAACTGCTGTTGCATCAACTCTGAATCCATGGAGAGAGCAGATTCTGGTGGTGATGGATACATCCATTTGCCTAGTTTTGATTCATGCATTTCAGCTTGATCATCCTGAGCGTATGGACATGTGGCTTGGAGAAATGCAATCATCTACTTATCAGACCCTTGTCTGTAGTGAATGGAAAGAGTTGCCAAGAGAACTGGGCAGGTGGGTGATGGTGAAAGAAGACTGTGCTCCAACTCCTCTAAAATAAGCTATTATAAGACCATAATTGAGGAAACCATGCTTAGATTTCACCACCATAACTAGTCTTAACTCTTACTTTTCCAAGTAAATTCCTAGAACAGGTGGTAGCAACAGTACTCCAGGGTTTCTTGGATAAAGTTGATTATTTGGAACCTTCCATTGGGTTCCGTTAGGCCTGGTTTTTGCATTGAAACAGCCTTGGCAAGGGCTTGCTACCAAGAACCAGGCTCGGGCAAGTGCTCCAGCTGGTTCTTCCAGACTTCTCAGTGGCCTTCAGTACAATCAGCCTTTTTTGGAATGTTTGGCAAGTATGGGACTTTGGGGCACTGTTCTGCAGTGGTTCTAGACTTATTTGGCTGCATGTTCACAGGTAGTGGTGTTTGGAAATTCTTTAGGGTATTATTTTGTTCCCTGCCTTTTCTAAGCTTCTGGGGAAGAAGGTCATCCAGAGTTTTGAGGCTGAGTCTCAGTATTATGCTAATGATGCCCAGCTCTCTCTAGTTCAGTGCTTGCCAAGAAAATGGAACCTTTCTCTGGATGTAAGTAAGGGATTGGATGTGAGCTAATAAGCTGAGACTCCAGACAAGAGGTTCTGTTGGTCAGTAAACAAACCACTCTGGGATTGGGGAACACAGCCTATACTGGATGGGATTGCGTTCCTTCTGAGGGATTAGGGTTGCTATTTGCAGGGCTGAGTCTGGAGGATTGGGGTGGTGGTTGTGGCAGCGAGCAGCACCTTTGCTGGGCCTTGCCAACTATGCTGTTTTCTAGGAAGTCCTCCCAGCCTTGAGACTTTTACCATTTCCCGTGTTCTTGAAAAGGCAGAAATGGGAGATCATCATGAGAGTGCAGGCATATCTTGGCAAATTACTTGATAAATATGCTATATCAATACAAAATAGTCGAAGCACTTTAGATATATTTTCCATGGCCGTCTAAAGTTAGCATTTATTATTATCCTCATGTTACAGATTTGGGAAAGGGTTCAGCAATTGATGCTTTCCTAAAGGCACCTGATCAAGTGCATGAGATTTGATGCAGGCACTTCTGCTAATTCTCTTAAGCCCTCACTGTGCCTCAAGGGAAACATTAGTATGAATTTAAATGCAGCACTGACCTTTTGCACTTGCACTAGAGAGGTACAGTTCCTGTCACTTTAGCAGGAATGCCACAGGATGCTGTTGACCTCCAAAGGGGATTTTAGTTCCAAGATTTGCTGCAAGTGAAAATACTCACACCAAAAATCTACACCTTTAAGAGTGCAGAGAGAATGTTCCTTCAGTGAAGCTTTACAAATTAAAGCCATTAGCCTCTTTCATAAAAGAGGCTGGACCTTCCTACACAACAGGTCAAACACTGTTGATTGAAAATCCTGCACTGTGTTTGCTTTGTATTAAAGGGAATGCAAGGTTATCTGTCAAATCCCAACACTTCTTTTGTCCATCAGAGGAAGCTGATGGTTTGTGATCTCACTTGGGAGCTTGGCTTGTACGTTTCTGGTTTTGTTTAGAATGTAATTTTTTTAAGGAAACAATTTTGCGATGGCGAGGCTTCTAAGTGCTGTGTGTCCCCTGATGAGAAAATAAAAGATGCTTACACACTCAGTAAATCTCTTCTGCATCAAACATTGGGAAGCATAAATAGTACCCTTATCATAAGAAAATGGCTCCTGAGAAATTGAATTGGGTGCTGTTAAGGGAATGAGAGTATGTATGTGACAGTGAGGAAAGAGCAACAGTTTGGGGAAAGCTGCTGATCAAGGAGAACAGGTTGTTTATTTTGTTTCAGACGGTGGTTACAAACCCCTGTCTTGAGTAGGCACTTGGGTAACATCCTAGGTGTGGGAACTGACCAGCAGACAGTTGCAATAAGCAGTTGATGGAGAGGAGAGGCGAGAGCTCATGTATTAAGCCAGTGCAGCCTAGGCAGGAGAAACAAAAGCATTAGGCTGCCTCAGCACCCCCTGAATGCAAGGACACCAAGGAATACAAGCCCTTAGATGCTGCGGGTGAATGACCGTGTCTCTCACTTGTCACCATAGCAGGAAAGCTCCAGTTCCCTAAGAAAGTTCTCAGTATTCTGTGCCTGGAAAAATGCCTTTCTTCTCTCAGGTACATCCATTACATTTGAAATGGGTGTGTATACCATGGTTATTCTAAGGAAGCTTACTGCCCCGAATCACATTCTTCTCTATGGGGGGGGGGGGGATTTTTTGGTTCTGTGTGTTTTTGCCCTCCCAGCTAAAGGTTAGATACTCCCCACTGAATTGCTACCCTCTTCTAAAGTGCAAAAAAAAAAAAAAAAAAAAAGATAGCATGGCCACCTTCCTTGCCAAGGTTCTGCCTCATCATGTTATAATCTTTCATCTGAGTTCTAGACTAGACTATGTAACCCTGTTCTGCAACAGTTACATACTTTTAGGGAACAATCCTATAGCCCCAAGCTAGCACTTCAGTCTTGGAGCCGGGAATCAGAACTCCAGCCTTCCTCTTCCTCACAAATGTGGAGGGAGGGAAGCACATTTCAGGGGGGAGGGGGAAAACAGCTGAGGCCAGGATATGAACTGTCCTAACACCTCTCTGGCTGCCTTCCTTCCACCTCCAAGACACCAGCTAAATGGAAAAAAAAGGTTACTTGCGGGAGTGGTAGGGTGGGAGAATGGGGAGGTTGACGGCCATAAGACACTCAAACTGGGGAACTTGTGGCCATTCTCATAGGAATGCCCCCATAAAGAAAGCAAGTTTGCAGGCAGGCAGTCTCCTCTGCAGCAAGTTCGCAACCTCTTCTGTTCATGCACAGAGACAACACTGCTGCTAGCTGAGCCCTGGGTGAGTGCTACTTGAATGCTTGCTCTTTCTCTTGTTTTCTGGAAAGGCCCTGGTAATAATGGCTTTATTAGCCTATTATCTATCCTTGGCTATTTAGGCTGTGCTGCCACCTGCTGGATTATTGTGCATCTCAGTTGTACAGACCTTCCTTTTCTTTTTCTACTTCAATTTGAAGCTGGGCCAAATCCCTTATGATTGCACACCTCTAAATGCATGAAGGTCTACCCCAAAAATGTTAAAGTAGCACATTTTCAAACAAGCATACAGGTGAAGACTCCTGGAACTGTGATCTGCTGTAGCTCGGTCCCTGTTGTGTTTGCATTTTGTGGACAACCCTGATTTGGTCATGTGTAAATTGGCCCTTGGCATTGTAAAGGGCCCAGCAAGATCATGACCAGGAGCCTCCCTTCACAGCAAATGTGGTTTTACTGTCTTTTATAACAAATGCCTGGAAGACTACTTAAAAATATCCTTCAGAGGAGCATTTTGTTGGCCTTCTTGCCACAGCATATATTAAGAACAGTTTAGCACTGCGAAGTTCTCCTAATGTTTAATTAAAAGCCAGGGAAGGGAGCTGTGCCATCCCGATACATGCATGGTTGCAGTGAAAGCTACCTTTCAGCCAGGGGCTAGAGCCCTTTGCCTGCATTTTAATGTCATGGGCTCATCTTGTAAAGCTGCCTCCATTAGAAAGCTGGCAAATACAAAGGGACAGCCGCCTGAGCTGTTGTATTAACACCCAAGTCTTCCCATTAAAATCATATTCTTCTGGCAGTTGCACGCAGAGCTGAGCTCTGACCTCTGTCGCCAATGCAGTCAGCAACAATGAGTCTATTGTCAAATAAGCAGCCGTGCAGTCTAACCTCACCCAGGAATTACAAAAGCACTGAAATGATCTCTGAATAAGCTTGATTGCTGTACAGAAGCCCAGAGGTGGTGTACAAAAGCAGCTGTAGTGCACTGTTGAATAGCCTTTGACTTAATTGTGAGCTAGTATTAATTCATCACAATTATATCCCACCCTCCTTCCTCCAGGAATAACCAAGGTTAACCTATTTGATCCTCTCATAGCAGACTAGGCTAAGATGCCTCATAGAAGCAAGATCCTCAGCTCTGGGGACCAGCTAGGCTTGTCATTCCTGCATCTCCTGCAGGGAACCTATGGCAGTTCCTTATGAGCAGATGTACTGTCTCTTTATACAGAACCTTAGCCGGCAAGTAACATGAATCCTCCTTTTCTATAGTCAGGAAAGATGCCCTGGCACCACAGAAAAAGCCTAGAAGATCCCACCCATGATTCAGACCAGGTGGGAGTTAGTTTGTGGAACCTTAAGCCTATACCACCTAGTTCCTTTTGAAGAAGCAAGCTTACCTCTGCTCAAGACACTCTCTGATGCACATCTACTTATGAGTAGATATTAAAAATAAGAAACAAAATGCTTGCATTTGTCAGTAAGAGTAGAGCATTATTTGTTCTTAAGCTAAACTTCAGTTGTGCATAGCTCTTTTTCAGGTGGATACTTGGTTCAAAGCATTCATAAGAATGTTTAGTTGCTTAAAGATTCCCAGGTATCTTAAAAACTTGTAAGGGCACAATCTTATGCATTTCTAGATAGAAACTAGAAATCCTGTAACTCCCAGCAAGCCTTAGTCAAATGTGGCTTAAATAATTGGACTTAAAAACATTTCAGCCATCACAGAGCCTAATTCAAATGGGTGTGCTGTGGACAGATGTTTTACTCCCACATACCAAAAGGAATCCTAACACCAAAGTCTTCTTGATCATAGAATCATAGTAGAGTTGAAAGGGATCATGAAGGCCATTGGGTCCAACCACCTGCTCTTGCAGGAAACCAAGTTACACCATCCCACTCAGATGGCTGTCCAGCTTCTTTTTGTACGTCTGTAGTGTGGGAGAGCCCATCACCTCTCTAGGCAGCTGGATCCACTGTC